TTCGGACTCCAGACCCCTTAAGCTGTAGTCTTGAATGATTAGCAGGAGTGAGAAAAGTGAAAGGTTGGAGCATCCGATACTCCGTCCACTTTCCAAAGCACATGGAGAAAATAGAGGCCGTGGCAGGGAGACAGGAACCTTGAAATGTGACAAGACAACTGGTTGGAAAAGCAGAGGTGCCGGGCAGAAGTGACTGTTCAATGTTTATGTCTTTATTTGGACGAACTAAATGTTCAAAATTCAAGAGGTACAAAGGGTTGATGGTGTTGCCAGTTTCTGGTATAGTTTTCTATAATAGACCTGATCCATGCATACCCAAGCAGGTACCTAGATATACTTTTTTAAAATATGTATTTTATTGATTTTTTTACAGAGAGGAAGGGAGAGGGATAGGGAGTTAGGAACATGGATGAGAGAGAAACATCCATCAGCTGCCTCCTGCACTATTGGGGATGTGTCCACAGCCGACGTGTCTGCAGGCCGATGCTCTCTATCCACTGAGCCAAACAGGTTAGGACTAGATATACTTTTTTTTTAAAAAAACACAAACAGTGGCACACAATACCCACTCTTTCGCCTCTTGAACTTTCTACTCAACCGGACATCTTGGAGATGGTTTCACGTCAGGGCACAAAGGGAATCCTCATTACTTTTCATCACAGCATAGTATTTCATTGTAAAGATCCACTTGGCTCCTACTGCTGCACGCTCAGCTTCCTTCTACTCTTTTGCTAAAACACCACTTGCTGCTGCAAATATCCCCCTAGAGACATCATTTTGCCCAACTTTGAGCGTATCCCTAGACATGGAAGGTATGTGGCCCTGGCCGGTGTGCTCAGTGGTTAGAGCATTGGCCCATGCACTAAAGGATCATGAGTTCAATTCCCAGTCATGGGCACATACCTGAGTTGCAGATAGGTTCAATCCCCGTCCCTGGTCAGGGCACCTGCAGGAGGCAACCAATCGACGTGTCTCTTTCACACGGATGTTTCTCTCTCTTTCTCTCCTCTTCAGACCTCCCCCCCCCCACTCTCTCTAAAAATCAGTGGAAAAAATTTCTGTAGGTAAGGATTAACCAAAAATAGGGTATGTGCAATTGTCTTCTGGCCAGCGTAGCTCAGTTGGTGGGAGCGATGTCCCATATACCAAAAGGTTCTGGGTTCCATTCCTTGGCAGGGCACATACCCAGGTTGCAGGAGGCAGTGGATTTATGTTCCTCCCTCTCCCTTCCTTTCTCTCTAAAATCAGTGAAAACATATCCTCAGGTGAGGATAAAACATTTTTAAGGTATATGCCAGTGGTCTGCAAACCGCGGCTCGAGAGCCACATGCAGCTCTTTGAGTGGCTCTTCCACAAAATACCACGGCCAGCGCGAGTCTATTTTGAAGAAGTGGCGTTAGAAGAAGTTTAAGTTTTAAAAATTTGGCTCTCAAAAGAAATTTCAATTGTTGTACTGTTGATATTTGGCTCTCTTGACTAATGAGTTTGCCGACCACTGGTATACACACTTGTAATTTTGATAGACATCGCCAAATTACCTCTCCCCAGCGATGTGCAAGTGTTGCCCTCATACCCTAACAGAGCATGTCAGGCCCTATTATCTTTGCCGATCTGACAGGTAAAAGAGTAGCTCAGTGCGGCTGTGGCTGTGTTTATCTCCTTGGGAGTGAATTGGAACATCTTCTCATTCAGAGCTATTTGTATTTGCTCTGCTGGGCAGTCACCAGACCTGTCTGTTGGCCAGATTACTGCTGGGTCATTAGGTTTTTTTCTTATTGATTTTGAATCGCTGTTCATATATTAGAGAAATAAGCACTTAGCTTTGAGTTCCTTTTATTTCCCCCCAGTGGTTCACTGACAGAGACATTAAGTTGGGAGGAATCGAAGGCCTGTGTCATCCCCCCAGTTTCTCAGAGGGAAAAGAAAATATTGTAGCTGTGAGTAATATACAGGGTGGGGAAAAGTAGGATTACAGTTGTGTGTATGGAAAATACAATGATTAGTAAGTAATAATACAAGAGTAAACTCTGTTTGGCATACTCACAACTTAAACCTACTTTTGTCCCACTCTGTAACGTGCAACTAGACATAAAAGTTGCTAAGTAGATTTTGGAACTTTAGCGTTGGTTCATTTGACAAATAAATGTGGAGCACCTACTGGGTGCCAGGTGCTGTTCTAGGTACTGAGATTACAGCAGTGACCAATACGGTCAAGGTCACACTCTCCTGGGGATGGTGTACCAGTGAGGCAGATGCACCATGAGGGAGTAAATAGGAGAAATATCTATATATATAAAAGGCTAATTGTCCATCCATCCAACTGGTAGCTATGATGTACACTGATCATGAGGGGTCAGATGCTCCACTCAGGAGCTGCCATGAAGTGCACTGGCCATTTAAAAATAAATGGCACCAAGGACTTGGAGCTGACAAACCAACACTCAGTTTCCCCCAAGTGAGACACAGGCCCCGCCGCCACCCCAGAGCGATACTTCACCAAATCGCAGCCAACGGTGCCAAGCCCACAGCCCAGCCCAGCCCAGCCCAGCCCAAACATGGTCACTGTGGGTGCCGAGTAATGATGTCACGTAGCAATGCCAGCCTTCTTGCAGTTTCTTCAGCCCAGGAACCTGACTTGCTTTATAGCCAGGTGCAAACAGTTTAACCAAATATCTGTGAAGCCCTTCTGTGCCTCGTCTCATTGGATCCTTACAGAAGTCCTGGAGTAGGTAGATAGGAGACTCAGTAGAAGACTATTTTCTTTTCATTAGCTGGAAAATGAAGATTTAGAAAGCTTAGAAACTTGACCTGACTGAAAAGAAGAAATAGTGGACCTTGAAAATGTCTTCAGGTTTTCTCTCAGCACAGAATATAGTCAAACACTGCTGCAGTTAAATATTTTACCCTTTGTTCTCCCTGCGTGATCTACAATAATAATCTGCTTGGTGTTGATATTTACTGCTGTGTTGCTGACAATTACCTGAAAGAGAAGTTGGGGTGCTTCACTGGGCTGGAAAAGGTTTAGCTACCTCAAAAGCAGGTCTAATTAAGCAAGTTTATTCTATATCTATAAAAGGCTAAGTTGACTCGAGCATGCCTGATACATATAAAGCTCTCGCTGGCGCCAATCGCACATGTGTGCTTCTATCTGTCATGGTCGATCGTGAATTTGGTTGACACTTCCATTATAAAGGGCGAGGAGTGATATTAAAATATTTCTCCTAATTAATTTCCTTTCAATGTGCACAAATCCATGCACCGGGACACTAGCCTTGAGATAATAATAAGTCTTATGAGAGAGGTGAAGTGGAGGTGGCCTAGGAAGGCGTAGTGCTGGGCTGGTTTAGATTAAGTGGCCAAGGAGGGACTTTGTGTTAGGACCCGAGTGACTGAGCGTAGGACCCAGAACTGCCTGGCAGAGGGCAGAGCACGTGGAAAGGCCCTGCGGAAGGCGTCAAGGTCAGGAAAACTAGCACAGGCCTCGGAGGAAGAGCTTAGAGGCCAGGGGAGGAACTCAGGGGTGGTGGTGTGGCTGCAAGAATCCACTGGACCATTTGAGTGAGAGGGGACTTGCTTTTTCTTTTGGAAATGTCCAAACCTAAAAGCAGAGAGAAGAGGTGAGGAAACACACACATCTTCACCCAACTCAATAGATATCAATATCTTGCCAATCTTCCTTCACCTATACTCCTACGTTTTTGTGGAGACGCTAGATTTTTTTTTTCTTCCCTTTCCCTCTTTCCTTGTCTCATTCTTTTCATTGAAGTGTAACAAACACCAAAAGTGCACAGATTGTAAGTACACAGCTCAGGGGCCCCCACTCACCGAATGTGTCCATCCAGCTAGCGCCCAGGAACTGATGAGGCAGCTCCCTGGGGTTCCTTCTAGTGTCTGCCTCCCAGCGTCCAACATGCAAATGGAGCATAAAGGGATCAAACAGGACATTCTCCATTCTGGCAAGCGTCTTGCACTTATCACTGTACTTGGGAAGTTTAGAGTGTGTGTCGCTGTGTGTCCCTGCAGATGGCAGACTGCTCATTCTCATCGCTGTAGCATTCCACGAGTCATTTTATTTACCCCATCCACGCGTTGACAGGCACCTGGGCCGTCGGCAGGTTTGGGCTATTGCAAATGGTTCTGCCATGAACATTCTAGCTCATCTTTTGGTGAACACATGTAGGCACTTGTGGTGGCTTATACCCAGGCATGCGGTCGGCTTTAGAAATAGTGCCTGTATTCATTTGCTAGAGCTTCTGTAACAAAGGACCACAGGTTGGGTGTCTCACACACCAGAGATTTATTCTCTCACAGTTCTGGAGGCTACAGGGTGTTGGCAGGGTTGGCTCCTTCTGGGGGCTGGGAGGGAAGGGTCTGTCCCAGGCCTCTCTCCCTGGCTTGTAAAGGACATCTTCTCCCTGTGTCTTCCCATGGGCTCCCTTCTGCGCATGTCTGTCTCTGCATACAGCTTCCCCCTTTTCATGTGGAAGCCAGTCACCGTGGATTGGGGCCCCTTATCTCTAAGTAAGGTCACCCTCTGGGCGTCTGGGGTGGGGATTCCAACATTTCCTTTTTGGGGAAACACAGTTCAACCCGTAACTGTGCCAAAGCGTTTCCCAAAGTGGCCACATAGTCTCCTCACCCACTATGTGCTGGAATATTTTAAAGTTTATTCCAGACATGACACCGTGCTTTAAAAGGACTTGGTCTGATTTACATTTTTAAACAATTCTATTTGTTCCATGGGATTGTCAGACAAGGTCAATATTTAACCAAGAAAGAAAAGATAAATAGAGAGTGGGCCCTCCTGAGACGGCCCTGGTCGGACACTCGGGAAGTCTGGGGTTGGACCACACCTCCCAGGTGCTCTTGGCTCAGCGCTGCTGCTCAGAGCCTGTGCTCCGTCCTCACTGCCGGGTGCCAGGCCACCCCATGCCGCATCCCCTGGGCTCAGGGGAGGCAGGGGGACTCAGGCTGTCTTTCTGTCCACCCCCTCCCTCCAGGACATACAGCAGCTTCTCCAGCTCCAGCAGCTGGTGCTTGTGCCAGGCCATCACCTCCAGCCCCCTGCTCAGTTCCTGCTGCCGCAGGCCCAGCAGAGTCAGCCAGGTAAGGCCCCAACCCGGTGGCCTCCCCACTGCCCGCTCAGCACTGCCCTCCCCCTCACCCTGTGTCCCCCCGCTTGTCTCCCCAGGCCTGCTACCGACGCCAAATCTATTCCAGCTACCTCAGCAAACCCAGGGAGCTCTTCTGACCTCCCAGCCCCGGGCCGGGCTGCCCACGCAGGTGAGTGTCCACCGAGCGTGCCAGGCCGGGCCAGCAGTGGACTGGCAGGAGGCTGGGTGGATGGGGGTAAGGCGGGGCTGAGGGTCTCTTCTCCATTTGGCCCACTCCCCAGCCTCAGAGGCCAGGCCAGGAGCTGAGAGACCAGGGACCCAGCAGTGTCTACCACTAAGTTGCTGTGGAACCTTAAGCAAGTTACTCTCTCGTGGTCTGGATCTTCCTCTGTAGCAGTGATTTTCAACCAGTGTGCCGCAAGAATGTTTAAAACGTGCAGTACCTGACTATTTAATCAGGGGCACTGACCTCTTTCCGCTTAGATTGTCAAATTAAAAAATGACAACAGCCAACACAATAGCCGTCAAGTGTGAATGAATCAAAACTACACCCTTTTTTTTTTTTTTTTTTGTCAGATGGGCAAAAATGTATTTTTTGGTGTGCCACAGGATTTTAGTAATTAGTTTATGTGTGCCACGAGATGGAAAAGGTTAAAAATCGTGGAATGAGGGGAATCAACCAAATCAGTGGCTCTTAGCCCTTCAGGCACATGGACTGCTTTGGGAAGTCGATGGGAGATTCGATCCGACCACTCTACCTCTGAACGCACATGCGCACAAACACAGGAACCTTGGGAGGTTTGAAAGTCTTTGGGTCTCTTCCAGGGTCCAAATGGAAGGTTCTCGGGAGAAGGGTCTGCTGGGTTCTAATTCATACCCACCTTCCAGATCAGACGCTGAAAACCGGGGCTCACACCGTATCTTAAAAAATGGAATCAGTTGACACAATTCCCAGAAAATGCCAGATTCCCAGCTTCTCTTGACAAACCGGAAGTACTGGCAAAACGGATCTGTGTCCGTGTGGCTTAGGTGGCGATTGGCAGCTGGCCACTGGCCAGAGCAGGGTGTCCCCTCAAACAGGGGTCCCCTCTCCAGCTGTCTCGGCCTCCCCCTACCTGGTCCCCATGGTCTTTCTTGGTTTGCTGCCTGGGTTCTAGACTTGCATAAAGAATCGTTCACAGTCCATTACAGATTTCAAAATCTTCTTCTACCCATTTTTGTAACAGTCCTCTCAAAGAATTATATGAACTATTTAGAAAACCCTAAAAGTTTAGGAACGACCAGAGGGCCTAGTGCAATTGTGAAATCCAGAAATGCTTGGAAAGTCTAGTTCTTGTAACGTGGGCACCAAAGTCATTTGGCTGCACAACCTGTCCTGACCTGATTCAAGCGATGAGTGACTTTGCTTTATCCCTCTTGTGTGATTCGGGCTTTGCTGAGAATGTCAATGTGTCCGAGTTTGGGGGTGATGCCTGGACCCTGATGGTGGCCTCACATCTCCTAAGGTATATGCCCCCGGTAGGCTTTCTAAAATAGGAGAAATTTCTGGATTCCAAAAAAGATCCGGCCCCAGGGTTTTGGATAATGGATCAGCGACCTTTGTGACCAGCTTCCCTGCACCCACCGCCTGCTTCAGAGCTTTAGTGTTTAGGAAAATACCATTTTTTAACCAAGTTTCCCCAACAAGTCCATGCATAGGCAGCAGCGGTGATTGTCCCATCCTGCGGGGGGCGGGGGGGGGGGGGACCCTGAGGTCCCCAGCAATTCCTAGCAGAGCTGGTCCCTGACTCCCTGTGGGAGAGGAGGTGGAGTCATGGCCCCCAGCTCCAGGGAAAGAACCGCCTGCTCCTTCTGGGAGTTTGCAGGCCCGGAGGGAATCTGCAGAGTTCCAGCAGCGAGAGGCCCCACGCAGCCACCCTGGGAAGGGACGGCCCAGCGTGGGGCCGGCCTTTGGAGAGAACCTACGGGCAGAAGCTGGAGGGCAGGGAGGGAGGGAGAAGAGGGGGACTGCGCAGCCATTGCTGAGCCCCATCCTGGTCCTTCGTCCTGCATCCCGCCCGCCTGCCCACCCCGCCAGGCTGTGACCCGCCCCACGCTGCCCGACCCGCACCTCTCGCACCCGCAGCCCCCCAAATGCTTGGAGCCACCCTCCCATCCCGAGGAGCCCAGTGACCTGGAGGAGCTGGAGCAGTTCGCCCGCACCTTCAAGCAACGCCGCATCAAGCTGGGCTTCACGCAGGTCTGGGGCCTCCCGAACCGGCTGTGGGCACGGGGGGTGGGGGGTGGGGGGTGGGGGGGTTAGGGGCGGGGCGGACCCCGGTGAGGGGCGTGACCAGCGGGGGGCGGGACGGACCCCCGGGGTGAGGGGCGAGCCCAATGCCAGGAGCCAGCTCTGACCCCAGTCTTCGTCCTGCCCTACGGACCAGGGTGACGTGGGCCTGGCCATGGGCAAGCTCTACGGCAACGACTTCAGCCAGACGACCATCTCCCGCTTCGAGGCCCTCAACCTGAGCTTCAAGAACATGTGCAAACTCAAGCCGCTCCTGGAGAAGTGGCTCAACGACGCAGGTGGGCCTGGGCTCCCTGGTGGGCGGCGGGCTTGGGGCCAGAGGGAGGGAGGGAGGGAGGGAGGGAGGCATCCTCTCACGCCCCATCTCCTCCCGGCACAGAGACTATGTCTGTGGACTCCAGCCTGCCCAGCCCCAACCAGCTGAGCAGCCCCAGCCTGGGCTTCGATGGGCTCCCGGGCCGGAGACGCAAGAAGAGGACCAGCATTGAGACAAACGTCCGCTTCGCCTTAGAGAAGAGTTTTCTAGCGGTGAGGCCGGGTCCTGGCGGCGGTGGGGGTGGAGGAGCGGGCGGCGGTGCGGGCGGGAGAGGGGCCCCGCTTAACCAGCCTTCTGCCCGCAGAACCAGAAGCCTACCTCAGAGGAGATCCTGCTGATCGCGGAGCAGCTGCACATGGAGAAGGAAGTGATCCGCGTCTGGTTCTGCAACCGGCGCCAGAAGGAGAAACGCATCAACCCCTGCAGCGCGGCCCCCATGCTGCCCAGCCCCGGGAAGCCGGCCAGCTACAGCCCCCACCTGGTACCGGAGCCCTGGGGGGCACAGAGCTCTGCCCCCGCCTCCCGCCCACCGCGGCAGGCGCCCGTGTGAGGCACAGCCTGCCTGGCTGTCCGCAGTGCCCAGAGCAGAGGCAGGGAGGGGCCCGTGGGGGGAGCGTCCTCACACAGGGACGCGGAGTTTCCGGGGAACTGTGGTCTTAAGTGGGGGACACAAGCACCCACACATACCCGCATTGCCAGACAGTTATCACAGGACGCTGTCACTCAAGGATAGAGACCAGGTAGGAGACGCAGGCACAACCACACAAGCGGGGGCATTCCAGCCCTCGGTGTGCACACAGACCCGCTCAGGATCAGACACATTAGGACATCCCTCTGTTCCATCCGGTGTGGAAAGGGCTGTGACACTATAGAGAGGAGTGAGGAGCCCAGAGGAGTCCATTCCCCCTCCCCCCATGATGTGGAGGAAAGACCGACCATCGGAGCGAGTCATAGAGAACAGGAGAGAGCCAGCCACGTGAAGGACAGGCAAGGGACTAGGCTTAGGGGTGTCGAACTCAATCAGAGAAGGGGCCAAAATCTAAAATCCAGCCTAAGTCGCGGGCCGAATGGTTTACTGAACAGTCATAAACTGTCATTGTGATGGAAACGCAGCGGAGTGCAGTGATGACAGCGCGGTGTGGGCCACATTGCAAGGCCTGGCGGGACGGATTTGGCCCGCGGGCCTTGTGTTTGACACATGTGGACTAGGGCCATGGTCGGCAAACTGCGCTCTCGAGCCACATGCGGCTCTTTGGCCCCTTGAGTGTGGCTCTTCCACTAAATACCACAGCCTGGGCGAATCTATTTTGAAGAAGTGGCGTTAGAAGAAGTTTAAGTTTAAAAAATTCGGCTCGCAAAATAAATTTCATTCCTACTGTTGCTATTTGGCTCTGTTGACTAATGAGTTTGCCGACCACTGGACTAGGGCCCACAAAGGCCTGGAAGCCAGACTGTCAAGCCCAATTTGAGTAACTCCAGTACCTTTTAGTGTGTGGAACTGGGATGTATTGAATGAATAGGGGAGGGTAGGAGGAGGCAGGGGCCAGACACCCAAGTTATACGCTGAGGAGCTTGAACTTGAACTTGGGCAGTGCAGCACTAAGGAGAGACAGGGTCACATTCAGTGTGAGGCTCCTGGGGCTGAGGGAAGACTGGTGGATGTTCCCAGAAAATCAAGCCATTTGACTCTGGTGCACAGTCACCCCTGCCATCATCCCCCACTTCAGACTTGCAACCGCGTGGTGTCAGAGGGTGGGGAGGGCCCTCAACTGGGAGTTACTCGCTCCTGCTGGTGGCTCAGATCGCCTGGGGTGCAAGCGGAGAAAGTGGAAAGCACCTGGCACAATACCAATGGAGCCTCGTACCCAGAGCCCCTTCACCATCCAGGAGGCAGAGGAGGAGGGGCCATCCCCACAGGGGCACTGCAGGGATTGGTGGGAGACAGTGGCCTGACCACGCCTTCTCTCCTCTCTCCCCAGGTCACACCCCAAGGGAGTGCTGGGACCTTGCCGATGTCCCAAGCTTCCAGCAGTCTGAGCACAACAGGTCAGGGAGGGCAGAAGATGGTAGGGGTGGGGTGTGGGGGGAAGAACACAACTCGAGCCTGAGCCCAAGGGTTGCAAGTGGCTCAGGGTGTCCATGGGCCTCAAGGCTGAGCCTGGGGAGGAGGGGGCGGGGAGGACAGAGGGGAGAGGGCAGACTCCCCCGTCCTGGCCAGAGAAAAGCATGGGGTTGCTGAAAGGCGATGGACTTGGGATCTGTTCCTGGGATTTATAAACTGTGTGAGCTTCAGAAGTGACTTTACCTCTCTGGGCCTCAGTTTTTATACAATTATTTTGAATGTATGATACATGCATATATACATACAAATGTCACACACACAAACACGTTTTTTTAACTTTAGAAAAGAAGGAAAGAGAGAGAACTAGAAACATTAATGATGAGAGAGAATCACTGATAGACTGCCTCCTGCACACTCCGTACTGGGGATTGTACCTAGACTGGGAATTGAACCGTGACCTCCTGATTCATGGGTAGACACTCAACCACCAAGCCACACCAGCCGGCCACACACATTTTTTTGTACAAAGCCCTCCTTTCCTGGGACACAGCATCATATACATAAGAGTACTATTTTTAAAAACCCACCATATTGCCCCTTTCCAAGTTAAAAAATAGTAAGTGGAGGTTTATAAAAGTAGTAAAGGTGAGCCTGGAACTGTTCTAAATGCTTTATAAAGAACTAGAGGCCCAGTGCACTGGGGGTAGTCCCTCAGCCCAGCCTGCACCTTCTCGAAGTCTGGGACCCCTCGGGGGATGTCCACCTGCCAGCTTAGGCCTACTACCCACAGGCAGACAGACATCCTCCAAGGGATCCTCAGTGCTACCACGGAGGTGGGAGAAGCTCCCATCACCACCGCTGCGCTTGCCAGCTGTGAGCCCGGCTTCTGGCTGAGTGGCACTCCCCCTGTGGGAGCACACTGGCCACAGCGGCCAGCTCCTGCACTGAGAGTCTGCCCCTTGGTGGTCAGTGCGTGTCATAGGAACTGGTTGGTTGGTCTCCTATTTGGTCAATTTGCATATTAGGGTTTATTAAATAGGATATTGCCTCATTTAATCCTCTCACCCATTTTATCATCCCATTTTCCTGATGAGAGAACTGAAGGCCAGAGAGGTGAAGGTGCTTGCTCAAGGGCACAAGTGAGACACAGCAAAGCCAGGAGTTGTCACCCTGCCTGTCTGGCCTGAGTGGGCTCAGAGCCCTCTCAACCTGCCAATTCCTGAGTCGAAGCTGGTACCCAGCTGCACCCCTCATGCCGGCCTGGCTCCTAGAGAGATCCTTAGGGCTTCTGGGCACCTCGGGTTCTTATCTGTATAAAAAGAGCCTTGGGATGAGGTTCAGGGCAGGGTACTGAGCTTGGGTTCAGTGAGTGACAGCTGCTCTTACTTCGATGACTGTGATTGCTGCCACATGGCAGAGGCATGACGAGATGGCCCTGGGCAGAGAGGGCAGGAGGCCTGAGTGGGCTCTGGCTGAGGAGATGCTGGGAGACTGCGGCAGGAGGTGACCCAGCCTCCGGGGTGGAGGACCGGCGGAAGCTGAAGTCTCCCTCTCTCTGTCTCTCTCTGGCAGTTACTACCTTATCCTCAGCTGTGGGGACGCTCCACCCCAGCCGGACAGCCGGAGCGGGTGGGGGCGGGGGCGGGGCCGCGCCCCCCCTCAATTCCATCCCTTCTGTCACTCCCCCACCCCCGGCCACCACCAACAGCACAAATCCCAGCCCTCAAGGCGGCCATTCGGCTATCGGCTTGTCGGGCCTGAACCCCAGCGCGGGGTAAGTGGGCAGCTGGGGAGACTGTGGGGAGAAGCAGGGTCGCTGTCGCTTCCTGGGTGGGGGGCCGAGCCCCCGTTCTGCCAGCCCCGTCCCTGCTAATGCCTCTGCTTTGCCTCTTGCAGAAGCACAATGGTGGGGTTGAGCTCCGGGCTGAGTCCAGCCCTCATGAGCAACAACCCTTTGGCTACTATCCAAGGTGCGTGCTGCCTCATGTCACCCCCATGGTCACCAGCCCTGCCCTCACGGGCCTCGAGCCCCTCCATTGCTGCTCCAGCCATGCCATCTGCCCCTGCTCACTGCATTGCTCACCTCTTCATACCCACCTCACCTTTGGGGAAGGTGTGAGGGCCGCTCATGGGGGTCCTTGGGGCTGATGGGAAGACAGGGGGCGCTGTGGGCAGGATGCTGGAAGGTGCCCCCAGCCCAGCCTCTCTCTCTCCCTGCCAGCCCTGGCCTCTGGTGGAACCCTGCCCCTTACCAGCCTTGACGGCAGCGGGAACCTGGTGCTGGGGGCAGCTGGTGCGGCCCCGGGGAGCCCTGGCCTGGTGACCTCGCCGCTCTTCTTGAACCACGCTGGGCTGCCCCTGCTCAGCGCCCCGCCTGGCGTGGGCCTGGTCTCGGCAGCTGCGGCGGCTGTGGCAGCCTCCATCTCCAGCAAGTCTCCGGGTCTCTCCTCTCCCTCCTCCACTTCCTCCTCCTCGTCCTCCTCCTCCTCTTGCAGCGAGGCCACAGCACAGACCCCTGGAGGCCCAGGGGGGCCGGAGGCAGGGTCCAAGCCCGAGTGAGGGCCCGCCATGCCTCCCCTCCTCCTCCTCTGACCCCCACTTTGGTCCCCGTCTAGAAGACAGTGAGGAGGCCAGCGATGGGAGTGTAGGAGGTCCTTGGAGCAGGAGTGATAAGGGAGAAGAGACAAAAAAAAAAAAATAATTCAAACAACCAAAAAAAGAAAGAAAGAAAGAAAGAAAGAAAGAAAGAAAGAAAGAAAGAAGAGAAACCAACAAAAAAGAAAACCAAAAATAATCGCAACAAAAACCAGCTGCCCCAAAGGAACCAGAGGTGAAAACCGAACAAAAACCAAAAACAGACCAACCCCCCCACCCCCAAACCAAACAAACCAAAAACCAGTTGCAAGCCAGACCTCAGTGTGCTCATCCTCACAGCTAGGACACCAAATAAGAACCCCAGCCGGGGGCCGAGACGCCCGCCCGAGGGCGAGGGCGGACCTCACCCTGAGCCCCAGGCTGTGGGGCCAACCTGCAACCTTGCCTCCCCCAGCGGGGGCCAAAGAAGGAAAAAGAGACCGCGCCAGCCTCCCAGCCCCAGCCCCAGCCCTGGCAGCCTGGGGTAGAGGGGTGCGGCTCAGAACCACCGCCAAACGCTCTTTTCCAAAAGGTGAAAGAGAAAGGGCCTGAACAACCTTACACCAAATATTCAGTAGCTTCATCCAAAGGATGTACAGAATTTTTAGCGTTGTGTTCAACAGAATGTGTCCCCACCATGCGTCCTCCTTTCCCCTCCCCCCCAGCTCTCCCTGCCCAGGCAGGGGGGCTCGCTTTAACCTCCTCCCTCCCCCGCCAGTGGAGAGTGCAGGGGAAGGCCTGGGATGACTCTTCACCCCTGTACTTCCCCCGTTCCCCTTTGAAGGGTGGGCTAGGCCATTTTTGCTAAGTTCTAGCTCTCACATGTCCCCCCTCACCGGGTCACCCTCTGGGGCCTCCCCGCTCCCCGGCCTATGGGGAGGTGGAAGTCCCAGGCAAAGAGGGAATGAGGTGAGGGCATGCAAGTTGTCTTTCTTTCCATCCTTGTCTGTCAGTTTCCCTGAAAAAAAAAAAAAAGAATTCATATTCCAGTGCCTATCCGTGGAATCCTTCACGTTCTTTGACATTGACCAGAAACCAAAAAGAGAACTCACTTCACTCACCGCCCCCACCCCCCCACCCCGACCCCCACCCTATGCCCCTCTGATACTGGCAGATGCCTCCTCCTGTCCCTGACACATGCAGACACGCACTCACCCCAGTGGTGAGGTTCCTCCAGGTGGCATCCCATCAGGGTTCGTGTGGCGGGGACAGTGCCATGACCTGTGGTCCCCATCTGAGAGGGCACTGTGATGGCCGCCGCTCCTATGAGACCTCCCTCTAGTCTTGGCTGGACCTTGTGTTTGCTCAGCCCCGGACACAACTGCAGGACCACAGACAGAGGAGAGACACCGCTGGGAGCCGCTTTGCCCCCTGCTATTGTGGAGGCCAACAAAGTTTTGAACCAAAAACAAAAAAAAACCAAACAAACAATAAGTTAAAACTAGAAAAGAGAATTTATATATATATATTTAAGGGAAAGAAGAAGAGAACTCTTCAAGAATGAGAAGGAGCTGCGAGGCGTAGCCAAGCCCTGTCCAGGCCCTTGGGCCCCGAGGCGGGTGGAAGGACAGATGCTTCTTTCTCTTCACAAATACCTCATGGACGTCGTCTTTGGGAAAGCCGGAGGGGGGCACCTGGGGCAGGGCCTGTCCCTCAGCTAGGGCAGAGGGAAGCAGGTGGGCAGGGCTGAGAGAGGGTGCCAGGGACTGGGGTGAAGAGTCCCATACTCCCTGCCCCACCCCAATCAACTGAAAAAGCTTTAAAAAAACAACAACAACAACAGGAAAAAAGGAATAAGAAGACAAAAAGAATGAAGGAAAACTAACACACTTTCGGGTGGTTTGATTCCTACTTTGATTTCTTTTTCTATTCCCTCTGTCCTCTCGCCTCTGTAACCTCTCTCTCTCTCCCTCTCTCTCTCTCTCTCTCCTCTCTCTCTCTCCCTCCCTCCCTCCTCCCTCCCTCCCTCCCTCCCTCCTCCCTCCCTCCCTCCCTCTCTCTCTCTCTCTCTCTCTCTCTCTCTCTCTCTCTCCCCCCCCTTTCTCTCTCCTCTCTCCTCTCCTTTCTTCTCTCTCCTCTCTCTTCCTTCTTCTCTCATCTCTCTCAATCTCGTTCTTTGTGTCTCTCCTCAAACCAAAGTGTTGCTGTGAAGGACGAGAGCCATGGAAATCAGAGTGGCCCCACCCCTCGCTGGGCAGAACAGAGCAGAGGGAGGGGGAACCCAGACAGTGCTGCTGGACACTGAGAGGCAGACAGAGCCTCGTGGCCACTCTGGGCCCTGAGGCCTCCGCGTTCTTTTTCTTGTCTCCCTTCTCCCACCTGGGAAATGAAACTGTTGGGCTGGGCCACAGAGGCAGCAGACACTCGGCTGTCCCGGGGGTCTGGGGTGCATTGTCTGATAGTGGAGTGGCTGCCCCTAGCACCCTGGCGCCCATGATGGGGCCTGGCATGCCATCAGCCAGCCTCGCCGCCGGAATGTAAGAATCTCTGCTGAACCGACTCCCTGCCCTCACCCTACCTCTGAGTTTGTCCATTTTTATTTCCTGAAGACAAGTGACTATTGAGAGGGCCTGGGCAGACAATAAGGACATTTGAGCAGAGCAAAGTTAAAGGAATTACAACCAAAAACCCCTCCGAGAAGACAGGCAGCATGGAAGGCATGGTGGAGATGACTCAAACAAATACTATGATTTCAGACCAAAAAAAAAGAAAAAAAAGAAAAAAAAAAAGAAAAGAAAAGAAAAAAAGAAAAAAAAAAAAAAGAATAAAATGGAAAAAAAAAAAAAATCCAGGACTCACCACCACCCACTTCATCCTGCTTCTTCCCCATCAAGTCCTGCCACATGGGACCTCTTCCCAACCCCAGTGTTGGGGGTGTGGGGCAGACAGCAGAGGAGGAAGTAGGGAGCAGGGATAGGGCCAATGATGCCCTGACACTGGTGGAGGGACCCCCCCCCCCCATGCAGCGGGGGATGGTGGGGACCCTCCCCACACAACCCCTATAACTGGGAAAAGAAAAACAAGAATAACAGAAAATTCCTGGGAGGGGGGAAATAACCAAATCCCAAGCTTTAACTACAGCTGTGAAACCAAATATTGGGAAGGGGGTGGGAGGGAGGGAGGGGCAAGTGTGCCCCAGGTCTCCCCCCCTGGGCCCCCTCCCCCGAGGACTCGAGATAAGGCACCAAATACCTCATAGAACTTTAATGTTAAAAAAAAAAAAGGAAACCAAATATCGTTGGCTGGGGGCCGGCCAGGGCAAGGGGCTAGGGGGTGGAAGGGAGCCAGGGTTGGGAAGGTGATGGGGGAATTTGTGCCCCCCACTCCCCTCTTGCCCCTTCCGCTCCAGTCCCCCGGCTGAACTCCGGGAAACAAAACTATCTCATCGTTTTTATTTTGTGGTCTGTACAGAGCCTGTGTCCGTGTGTCTGTGTGAGCGAGAGATTTGGGGGGTTGGGGAACATTATACGGGGGTTGGGGAGGGAGACCCCAGACCAGGCTCTGGGCTAGGTGCCATGATTACAGTGAGGGGGCCTGGGCTATAGAGAGAGGAAGATGAATGGGTTGGAGAAATGGGGCAGGGGGCACCCTCTGAATTCCTCTTCTCCCCAGTCACGACCTCCTGCCTGAGGAAGGGACAGAGACCGGGTCTACCCTAATGGTGGGCCTTTTAATTGTGCCAAAAAAAAAAAAAAAATGCCAGTAACTAAAACACCTGTCTCTGTTGTCTCCTGGGAGGGAGGGGCGGGTGTAAGTGGGGATGGGTGGAGATTGGGAACTCCGGCTCCTGGATGAGTTGGGACTAAGATCAGAGGAAGGGGAAGGATGTTTCTCACACATCTCCCTGGGGAGGACCGAGAGAGAGAGGGTCTCCACATCCAAGCCATGTAGGGGGTGACCTCCTGACATGACTGGATTTCCTCACCCACCCAGATCCCAGGTGCCTCTCTCCCATTTAGCCCAGGGTAGGGGAACTGAGTGAGAGAGAGAGAGTGAGACAGACTGAGCAAGACTGAGACACGCGGGCCCCCACTGGCCTCTGAGTGGGAAAGGCAAGTGCGAGAAATAAAGGCCTCCAAGAGAAAAAAGAAACAAACCAAAGATTTAACCATTAAAAAAAAAAAAACACAAAAAAACCACAGACAACTCCGCTACCTTTTTATACGTTGGAAAAAAAGTGAAAAATGTTAAAATTAAAAAAAATACACAAAACAGGCCGCAGTTCCTTCGTGCGGTTTGAACTTTGACCTCAGCAGTCTCCAAAGCAAGATGACGATGACAAAGGCGAAACAAAAGAAAGAAAAAATAACGTATATTTTTAAGTATTTGTCCTTGAGATGTTAGCTCCTTGTTAAACACAAAAAGGAGAGAAAAATCCAGACAGACGTGTTGCTGGGACGGAGACAACTATTTACTATGTCTGTGACCCCTCCTCTCTGCCTCCCCCTTCGTCCCCCCTTCCTCTTTCCTCTATCCCCGCTCCCCCTCCCCCAGCCTGTCCTCCAAGCCCAGGGGCTCAGTATTTATTTATTTATATAATTGCAGGGTGACTGGGGGCCTCTCTCAACAACTGTAGAGAAGGCCTTTGGATCATGATGGGTAGGGAATGGGCAAGGAGTCTTTGGGGAAAAGCAGGAGCCTGATCTTCGATCAACTCCTCTCTGCTGGCTCCTTCCAGGCTTCTTATCCCACTGCTGCCACCACTTCCTCCCAATCCAAGGCTGCACTAGGGCAAGGTGATCCCCCACCATGTAAAGACCTGACTGGCTCAGCCCTTGCTGGGTGGGTGTCTTTCACCACCTACTCATTTGATTCACTGGGTGGAATGGGGATGGGAGGAGGTGGCAACAAGTGGGCATAGGAGACCAAGAAGTGGCTTCTGGAAACTGACTAGGCCCTGGAGACCTTCTCCATTCTCACCGAGTTAGCCCCCCCTTTCAGTTCTGTCTGACCCCCGTGTTGGTAGCCCTTCCCTTCCCATCCTGCACCCCCTTCCTGTCTCTTCTCGTGGTAGCGGGTTAGCGTTTCAGTGTTCTTAACTCCAATCTGCTTGTTCATTGTACAATGTGCTTCTTTTAAGGCCCCATTTTTGTAACTTGAGTGTGTCATTCATCTGAACAACATCAAAAAATAAAAAATTAAAAACTGTACAGAGAGAAAGTTGCTGGCTCTCCCTTGGTCTTCTCTGTCCTGGGAAGGGTCGTGGGGAGAAATCAGGGTATGGGGTGGGTATGTGTGTGCTGGGAGGGGAGGGCTTTACTT